AAACGCCTTTGAACTCAAACATTTTTCAAATATCAAATGCTGGTACTAGCAGGATCAATTTAACATGTTGTGGTTTAGCATCCGTACCCATCCCCCTCCCCAAAATGTTACTTTGATCAAATTTCTGCAACTGATTCTACCTCAAGATCCCAATCAATATGTTTTCATTATTAATAAAAAATGCATTAAGTTGTTCTAGTGACTATGTGCCAAACCACCGATTTCAGTGAGACCTGGATCAGTCCTACCACCTCGCCAGAAATTAGATTTCTAGAATGAAACCACCCGAGGTAAATAATTAATAATCTTTTCCTTATAAATGAACATAATTCAGTAAGAGCAAATTATTTTTAAAGTCTGTTTAAAAAAAAAAAAAAGCTCCCAAATGAAGATCGTGTTTTTTCTACACAGACAGATGAAGAGTCCTACCATGGGCCACGAGGAGAGAGGTTGATACAAAAAGCTGAACCACCTCTAGCATCAGGGATTCCTTTCCTGGCTGGGTTTAGAGCCCAGACTTGGTCTCGGGCTCTCCATCCTCGACACACACTGCACCACGCTTAGAGCATGTAGGAAACTTATTTCTCAACCTTTTTCGCAAGCTCATGTGGATGTCAGCAGAAGGAAGATTTACCCTCACTCCCTTTGATCAATGCTCATCAGCTACACATAAAACTCAGGAACAGCTCTGCTGTTACAAAACTCTTCATATCTTATTTGCTCCCTCCTCCTCTTTCCCATAACATAAAAAAGCTTCTTTCGCAGTTTATCAAGTCCCTCCACTGGTACCAGCTAAAAAAGGAACCAAACTTAGAGGAACTCTTCCAGGAAAGCAGAAGAATGTTTAAAACAAGTCATTCAAAGCTACAAAAAAAAAACACCAAAACCAACTTCATTTACATACCCAGAACTTGTTGAAACACCCTTCCAGTCCCTGCAGGACCAGACCAGAGTCCTTTTCCTGCTGTCAAATGAAATACTCTCAGGCAGATCTGTTTTAATGCAGAGGAATTTTGTTCTCCAGTAATTAACAAATGGTTAATGGAAAGATAAACTCATTGCAAAAATATGGTCCAAATTTTTCTGACACACATGTTCCCATTAATTTAATTCAAGTCTCACTAGCAGTCAGATTTATGAAGTAATTTAGTATCCAGACTTAGATATGAGAGAAGAGTGGACCACAGTAAGCAAAGACACATGAGTCTGCTAAGAAAGAGACAACTATAACTTGATTACAAACACTGAAATATATTAAATTGAAAATATAGGGATTTCACATAACTCCAGCACTAAATGTACCCTCATTCACCAACATACCAAAAAGAAACCATTTTAAAAAATGACAGCCATATAGTTAATCTGGCCTTCAATACAGACCAGGCAGCTTGCACCTTTTCTTCTCAGTTTAGATGAAACAAGCATTTCCTCCCTCGATCATCCATGCAGAATAAATTGCCATAAAAAAATGCACTAACACATCAACTGGGTGCAACAAAGTCCCCAGACCTAATACTTGAAGAAGACCTGGCCTGCTGCTTCGATTTGATACACTCTTCCCCTTGCTGTTCTTTATCCAAATTGACCCATTCTTATTTAGGATTTAGACCCTAAACCATATTTAGGATGTAGCTATGTGGTAGGATTGACCCAGTGTATCAGCTCAGTACTGCTAAAAAGGGGGGTCCCAAGCAGCTCCCCATTTCTGGCCAAGCACTTCTGCACCCTCCTTTGTTCATAGAATCACAGAATGGTTTGGGTTGGAAGGGACCTTAAAGATCACCTAGTACCAACCCCCCTGCCATGGGCAGGGACACCTTCCACCAGACCAGGTTGCTCCAAGCCCCATCCAGCCTGGCCTTGAACACTGCCAGGGATGGGGCAGCCACAGCCTCTCTGGGAAACCTGTGCCAGTGCCTCACCACCTGTACAACGAAGAACTTCTTCCTAGTATCTAATCTAAATCCACCCTCTTTCCGTTTAAAACCGTTACCCCTTGTCCGATCACTACATGCCCTTGTATACGGTCTCTCTCCATCTTTCCTGTAGCCCCCTTTAGGTACTGGAAGGCTGCTGGAAGGTCTCCCCGGAGCCTTCTCTTCTCCAGGCTGAACAACCCCAACTCTCTCAGCCTGTCCTCATAGGAGAGGTGCTCCAGCCCCCTGATCATCTTTGTGTCCTCTTCTGGGCCTGTTCCAACAGGTCTGTGTCCTTCTCATGTTGGGGACCCCAGAGCTGGACGCAGTACTGCAGGTGGGGTCTCACCAGAGCGGAGCAGAGGGGCAGAATCCCCTCCCTCGACCTGCTGGTCACGCTTCTTGTGATGCAGCCCAGGATACGGTTGGCTTTCTGGGCTGCGAGCACACATCGCCAGGTCATGTTCAGCTTCTTGTCAGCCAACACCCCCACATCCTCCTCCACAGGGCTGCTCTCAGTCCACTCATCACCCAGCCTGTATTTGTGCTTGGGATTGCCCCGACCCACGCGCAGGACCTTGCACTTGGCCTTGTTGAACTTCATGAGGTTCACATGGGCCCACCTCTCAAGCCTGTCGAGGTCCCTCTGGACAGCATCCCTTCCCTCCCGCATGTTGACCACACCACACAGCTTGGTGTCCTCGGCCAACTTTGGCTGAGGGTGCGCTCAATCCCACTGTCCGTGTCGCCGACAAAGATGTTAAACAGTGCCGGTCCCAATACCGACCCCTGAGGAACGCCACTCGTCACCCATCTCCACTTGGACATCGAGCCATTGACCGCAGCTCTTTGGGTGCAACCATCCAGCCAATTCCTTATCCACCGAGTGGTCCATCCGTTCAGCCCTCGTACAAGTTGTGCAGCAAGACAGCTGGCTAATCGACTTGGTAATCCAGCCAAAAATTAGCCCAGGGGCCATTTTCTTGCAGGCTAGCAAGAACCAGTGATCGTTTAGCCAGGCAAGTGCTGGACCGACACGCTGAGCTGTACCACAGGGACACTGGGACCATGGGGCACGGAGGAGCTCCCTCCATGCCGGGAGCCTGCGCCATCGATTCATTTCACACATCTACCCACACCCTCTGTCATTTGAATGGGAACTGAAGATATTCCTGAATTCACAGCAATTAACTTAATCAGACAAATGCAAAAATGTATTTACTGCTGGGATGGATAACCCAGCTCTGGAGCAGTGTGATCCAGCACCGTGGGGAAATGAGCCGCAGCAGTGGGTGCACACATTTCGGGCTGCATAGGCTTTTAGATTGTCCCGTTATTATTTCCATCCTTCAATTTTCGCATTTGCAGGTGGTATCCAGTGAACTTCCACAAAGCCTTGAAGTTGTTCCCTAAACTTCGTATCACAACTGTGAATGGCTTAGAAATAGGAATTTTTGGTTGTTCCAGTGTGGAAGCAGATGTAGCAGAGCAGGTCAGGACAACAAAGTTATTCTTTCACTGTATGAAACATTGAATAGCTGGAGTCCGCTCAGCTTTTGATGGCATAAAGCAGAGTGTGATATCAAGATCTCTGCACCTGCCATTGATTTTTATCCTACAAAAGAAAAACAATGCACGGGGGAAAGAATGTGCCACTGCATGATCTGTGAACTCTTGCCCGCTTTACACCATTTTTGAGAGAAGTCACACAGATCAGTGAGTTTCTGCTCCAGAAGTCATGTTATTAAAGTTCGCAACTTTTCCCAGTATTTTTTTTTTAAGAATCAAAGACTTCCTATACATTTGAAGCATATTTGAAGCACAAAGTATTAATGCTGGTGTAGTTCAGTTTTCATTTTTTGGAGCTTTGTTATTCTACATTTAAAGCAGGGAGGGAAATTGTGTATTAAAACTGATTTCTTTTCCACCTGTACTACCATCAACATAACAAAAGTACAAGCACAAACTCTAGCAGCTGTACTTAAACCTGTCAGTGTTTTCAGTGTTTTATTAGAAAGCTACGAAGTGTTTCAGCTTTCAGAAATCCATGCTAGGGGGAACATATTTAGGGTAGATTTTTCAAAAACACCGATTTTACTTTTGACCAGAAAATTGAGCTACAATTTGGGAAACTCCAACTTCTAGTTTGTTTTGAGGTGGGATAAAAAGGAGATAAAGCTGGTCTACATGTCCCTTAACTGAAAGAATAAAGTCACTGCAGAAACAGACTGAGCTATACACAGGTGAAATTCCTCCCGTAGGGGTATTTCTACAAGCGCAAATATGCTTTTATCAGGATAATTTGTCTTTGAAAATGCACTTGGAGGAACACTTTAGGGAAGACTGCTTGTCATCTGCCCAAAGACTTCCAGAGCATACTTCCAAAACTTTATTGATGCAGGGAATAGGTATGCAAACTTAGGGCTTACGCCTCAGAGCTTTGAATGAACCAAATTGTTAAGAGTGATTCACTTTTGACAGGAAGCCTAAACTATATTTATTTATGAGGAAACTTCATATGCAAGGGAGAACTAGAAGAGCTCCTTAACTTCACCATAGCAACACCCCCAGTTACAAACACTTGGCAGAGTTATAAATACTTTATTAGTTTCAGTACAATAGTCCTCTTACACAGAAATCAGGTAACAGTTACAAAAGACTGTATAAAAGTTTGAAATATGTGTTATTCAAAAGCAAGGTATCTTAAATTCTGGTGCAGAACACAAACCTTCCTGGAGGCTGTATTAAGCCAAATGACCCAGTGCTCTCCTCTAGGAACCCGCGGTCCAAGGAAAACCCCTGGACTGCGAAGGCCTGCCTACACATGCGGTTTCTGGGGAGGTTAAGTGGCCGAAACCATCACTTGGGAATTTATTCCAAGTTCCAGACATCTGATTATCCTTTTTTCTTGCTTTACAAAAGCAGCGCTAACTGTACCTGGCACTCTCTCCAGTTTGCAATGGGTCTCTGCGTGCCACAGAAGGGAACTAATTTGGATACCAGAAACCCTACTATTATTTTAAAGTGTTATCCAATGCCATCCTACTTTATGTCTTCATGCAGAGCTTGCTAACACTACTGTTTTTACTTTTTCATTGGAATTTCTATTGTCATAAAATCCTCAGCTAGTGTTACTTCTTGACCATCTAACACTGACTCTGCCTGTCTCTTCAGTTCGGTGATGCCTGTATCTCCCTCACCTCTCTGAGCAGCCGGTTTATACCGCTGACTGAAGTGAGTCAAAACCAGTTTCTTAACTTTACACAATTTTGCAAAATCTGCTGCCATTTTTGGAGTGCTGTGACCATGCTCTCTGGCCTTTTCCTCTTGGGTATCATCCAAAGTGGCTTCATGTATCAGTACATCCGCTTCACAGCAAAGCTTCACGGCCGCATCTCCAACCACCCCTGAACAATCCCCTAAAATGCAGATTTTTCTTCCAGGAATAGGGTCTTCTAAGACATCAGAAGGAGAAATCGTTATTCCATTTTCTAGAACAACTGCAGTTCCATTCTTCAGTTTCCCATATAAAGGACCTGGTTGAACTCCTGGTAAATAAAGGCAAAAGAGGCCCTAAGTATTATGATGAGTGTCAGGTTTAAAAAAAAAACCAAAACATTTAAGAAGAGATATGCTATATAGAGAGCTGTCTCACTGAAAAAATACCACCTCAGTATCAATAGCAATTGATATCTCACACACTTCATACAAATAAAGAGCTTGGAACATTAGCAGGAAGTGTGTTTGAAGAAAAACTATATTCTTTATGTTAAAGTCAATAAAGTCATGCAAATACACTGGCCATACATTTCCCTGAAAGCCACGTTGTGCTTTTTAAACTTTAACATGTGAACTTGTTTGCTCTTCCCAGTATGATAATAGTCTGCGATATTTATTGGCTCTAGTGTTATACACCAATTCAGACTGCTGCATTGGTATGAAGTATTAAAATGTCTTTAATAGAAAACTGAATTAAAACAGATTACTGAGAGATACAGCAGCTCTAATTTGCTAGAACCCCTAGAAAGGAGGCCATAAAATGACTTCAGCTGCCTGTGAACCCAATTTTGTTACATTTGCTGAAAATGCGAGTCGCTAATCAGCCTGAACACATGCATTTAGGCATTTAAAAAATTAAGAAGAGGAAAAATAAGTCAAAGTAGTTACCAAGGTCTTTCAGTTTCTGTACGTTGAGTTTACCGGTCCGGGGCTTCTCTTCCACCACAAAGCCAAAGGAAGGAATGCGGTGACATAGGCGAAATGCTTTCAGAACCAGCTGCTCATCCTCAATCAGCAAGTAAGAGTCTTCTACTGGATCCAGGTGGAGTATTCTCCCTTGTGCTCCCTCGGGAGATACCTCATCTCTGTCCAAGTAAGAAAAATCTCTGAATTCTTCTGCGGGGCACTGGTCCCGTGTAGGCACCAGCTCATGAACAGTGTAGGGAAACAGAAGTTGTGAGTGGGAGAGCTCCATACTCCTCCATATGAAGTTTCGCAGTCCTAATGGTCCATAAATATCAACAGGTGGTTTGTTTAGGTCAGGGCTACTTTGGAGGCTAAGTGTACACAGCAGGCCAGGAAGTCCAAAAAAGTGGTCACCATGAAGATGAGTTATGAAAATCTTGGTAATTCTGCCTATTGATTAGAACAACAGGAAAAGAAAAATAAAACAGAAAAAGGTAGGAAAATAAATGAACGCCATAACAAGTCAGAAATAATCACTTTTTGGCAAGAAGTAGGAAATAAAGAAGGAGGGAAATGAAAATAAAACCAGTATTTAAGAAATAAATCCCAAACAACAAAGTGGTTTTTTTTCTACAGTAGCGATTAAGTTTCCGCACAAGGTTTATTTTGGCTTGATTTGTCGTGAAAAGGCTGCCGAGACAGAAGTTTTAGTTGCTTCTAAGGAAAACGTGCTACAAGCATGGAACAGAATCGACTGGTGACATCTGCCACATTAAAACACAAAGAAGTGCCGGAAAGTGGTTGCGCTTTCATACATTACACGGAAACTGTAGACTAAAGAGAAAGATAAAGTGGAATCTGTATTGTTCCTAGTTTTGAATCTAGCACATGAAATGAACATAATCAAAAAAGAAAAAGAATCCAGGTTTGATTTCAAAGTTTTTTTAAAAGGTAAGAACCCCACAGATCCCAACTGGTTTGTTTCAAACAGATGAAAAATTGCACTGAAAGATCTGGGCTTTGTTTCGCATCTGAGTTTGTCTCCAGCTCTCAGGCACCAGGCCCTGCCCTTGCTGGATTAAAAAAGCCCCAATTTTTCTCTCACTACAGACACATGTACTTTAATCAGCCTGCCTCAGTCTCCTCTGCTAGCTGAGCTCCCACTTCCTCGCGGTACGGCACTTTCTCCAGCATCTCTTAGGACTGAGCAATAGGAAGGACAGAATCTCTTTGTTTTAAGAACAATTTAGTAAAAATCACTAAATTTAGTAAAAATTAGTCTATTCACTTGGTCATTAAACCCCCTGATAGCTTCTGATTTTGGAGGAGCAGGAGGTTGGTTTTCTGTTTGTAACTGATAAATCCATCTTTATAACATGAGAGTCCAAAGTCTGCTCTTGCCGCTGTAGACCGCAAAAGCACAGCGACTGAAGGTTAAGTCTGGTTTCTACTTTATTTGCTCAAATGTGAAAGTTACCGCGAATACACACAACTTCACTTGAAAACAAAAGCACAATATTTATTGCCAGGAAGACTCACAGCAGGTACTGCCTACATCTGCCTTCAGACAAATACAAACTGTGCCAGTTAAAAGCTGGTCTGTGGTCCACATTTGAAATTACAAAGCCTAAGAAATTAATGCAGGAGAGTTTAGTTCTCGAACACAATTCTTTACCAAAGCGCAATCAAGCATTACTGCACAGCAGGTTCAGCAACTCCCACCCTTATGCAGCACCTTCAGATGCTCATGCATGTTTAGTACGTACATATTCAAATACCGTGAGCGCAAGGACAAAGTATTTTGTTTAGATCTCATGAAACTTTTCTCCTTCCTACATCACAATACCTTTCAACAGCACAAACCTGCTTTGAGATGGCTCTTCATGAATTGTGTCTGAGTTCCCTCTCCGCAGTCAAAGAGCCAGCACTCTCCTTCCCTGCGAAGCACTAATGCCGATGCTCCTCTTGTTGGAGACGGATACGCTGAGCCTGTGCCGAGGAAAGTTATATCCATTGACATTTTAAATATGTCGGTATGCCACCTGAAAGAGAGATTTTGAGCTGCTGAGCATATGTATTTATGCTGGGAAAGAGACATTTTTGCTTTAAATGAAGGCAGCCTCTCTACTTTAGTGTGAGGATCAAATTGCCCTTCCCTTAAAAAATAAAAATAAAACCTCCCTGGAGTAGGATATGACTTTCAGACAACACATATTACAAGCAGCAGACTTCCTTTTTAAGCCAGTGGAAGGTTGCAAACACTCAGCCCAAAGGTAAGACGTGACCTTTGTTTGTTACCTGAAGAAACAGCCCTAGCCAGCTGGAGATGCTCTAATCTTTAAACCTGCTATTATTTATTTCTTTTTCCCTTTACTGAAACTTTGAATTTTTCTGCATACGCTTTCCTCTACAAGCCTTTTCAGAATGACTAACACCAAACAACCCCTTGCTGACATTTAAACGCCGTTACTGGACGTCAGGAGCGGCCAGCCCAGCAACGCAGAGGGGAAAGATTCGCTCCCCTCAAAACAACTTCAGAGACCGCAAAAGGCAGGAGCAACTGGATTTACTTTGCCTTTGCAACGGCATCCTTGAAAGCGACGGGTGTTTTACTTCTCATTAGTGTTAAGTGAAAAATTAAACACTACGTAGCTTGAAGGCTGTGTGACAGATCACGGGTCACCTATAGTGGCTGAAGGATCTATAAAATCAGGTGCCGTACCTCTGTTGTTTCCGTATCCGCTATATTGTCCAGACGAAGCGGCCGGCCGGTCCGTAGGAGCAGGACAACCTTCCTGAAGCTGCGTTAGGAGCAGAACTTCCAGGTCCACGACTCTAAGGCTGTCTGGCCTTACGGGGTCTGCCTTCTCCAGCCGGGCTCTTCCCAGACTTAGCTCCCACCTCGTTTTCAGATGTATATCCACCTCATTTCAAACTCCAGGTGCCTCAACAGCTCCAGATACCTTTCAAACAGAAGAATTACTGTTTCTCAGGTTTAGTTGCTTTTAGAGGAGCAGCCCTTTTCCCTGCTGTGCTAGCTGGGTCCTCCCAAGCCCACCAAGGTGCAACGTGTCATTACCTGACCTTGGTGGGGGGGCAAGAGGGAAGGGATAAACCTCTATCACACCCCCAAAACGGCAAAAATAAACATTTCGCTGCTTCTTCCTCGGTGTAAAAGCAGATGAACGACTTCTCAGCTAAACTGGCTTCGGGCCCGGTGCGTCGGTGGGCTGGGACCTGGGGTCAGCCGTGTCCCCCCCCGAGCCCTACCGAGGTCTAACCTCTCCCAAAAACCTTCATAAACCGCCCGACCACCCGCCCCTCAGGCCGCCCCGGGCCTCTGCCCCGCCGCCTTCCACATCCCCCCCCCCCCCCCACACAC